GTGACTCTTTGCACCTCGACATCAAATGAAGAGGAAAGACAATCTGCAATCAAAAGTTTAGTATCACAAATATACATAGGTATTTTAGTAAATAGTTATATGATTAGGTAGGAATAGATAAAGTAGATAAAAGTAGGTTAATTTCATAAGATCTTTTAGAAAAGCTTCTTAGAAGCTTCATAGATGCTGCTTGACTTTATATGTATTTGTAGTTGATTGATAGGTTAGAAACTTGATCAATAAGTTAACCACATATTAATAGCTTATGGAACAAGCTAATTATGTGGCCCACATATAGAAAACTTACCTTATAAGTTAAGCTATATGTCTTGCAAAGTCAACACGTTTTGATGGTCCTATAGGACATTGCCATGTAGTTCTTAGTTAAGAGTATATATGGAGGCAAGAATGAAGCCTTCTTCACTCTTATCAATACCTTTCTAGTTCTTAGTCTTGTTTCAAGACTTTCTAATTTTCTTGTTTTTGGCAATAGCCATTCTAGTTCAATATTATATCATCTTTGAGTGACTTTCTAGTTCCTTTCAGTGATATTAGAGTGTATTGAGGATTTTCTTTCTTTGAGATTCATGTCCTTAATACTTAGTCATAGAAAAAATCTTTATTAAGAATCAAATATAGCATAAGCAATCGGTATATATGGTAGTTCCAAATCTTGCATCAGTGGTAGGAAAGACAGCCAAAGGAATAGAATGGATAGATATTCATACAAAAATATCGAGATGTCTTTCCAACGGACCTACCTAGAACATGCCTCTTGATCGAGGTGCCCACTTTTAAATAAAACTATTACATGGAGCCAAACCACCTAGTCGACCAATTTATTGCCTAATATCAAAAAAACTTAAAGAATTATGGAAGATATTGGATAAATTCTTAGAAAAAGGCCTCATTCAAAAAAAACACATTACTATAGGGAGCAAGTGTACTCTTTGCACTCAAGAAGGATAGCAAACTTTGCCTTTGCATTGAATATCGAGTCTTCAATAAGTAAACTATTAATAATGCATATCTACTTTTATGCATGGATAATCTTCTTGACCAACTTTGAAGTGCAACCAACTTTAATAAATTGGATCTTTGGAGCGGCTATTGAGAGACACCTATTGCAAGAGAGGATGTAGAAAAGATGGCCTTTTATATGTACTATGGACATTTTTAATGGCTAATTTTATCTTTTTGGATTTACAAATGCTCCAGTTTCTTTCATGGATTTCATAAATAGATTGTTTCGAGATGTTTTGGGCAAGTATGTAGTTGTCTTCATTAATGATATCCTCATATATAATAAAATCCTTCAAGAGCATGAGCAATACATACAAGACGTACTACGTTAGCTACAAGATAGTCACTTCTATTACAAGCAATCAAAATATGAACTTTGGAAGTCAAAAGTCACTTTTTTGGAGCACAAGGTTTACAAGAAGCTATTATAAAGGCATCCTATAATTTATAATTATTTCTTGCAAGCCTTGATTTTAAAAATAACTTTATATATAATTTGCTTATTTGTTATTTTATGTGGAGATAAGAGTATATCTTTTTCAATCTTATTAATATCTATCTTATACTTGAGTATTGTCTTAAGAAACTTTAGTCTCCATATATTTAATGCTAATTATTTTCAGTCCTTCATATCTAAATAATATATATATATATATATATATATATATGTATGTCTCTTAATCATTTTACTTTGTTAATCATCCTATACAAAACATATTTTACTATGTTAAAAAATACATATTCTTAAAATTTCAAAGAATTATTTATAATTTTTTGCTCAATAAAGTTATTTAAAGTATAACTTCAAGTAATAGAAAAGATAAGTGAAGAAATACAAAACTACAATTCGAATAGAAAAGCAACTAATTACTAAACTAAAATATAACATTTCACTAATAATACAATATTGATTTCATATTCATTTATTAAAAAATACCTCCTTTTCCTATGTTTCGTTTATATTTCCATGCCCATTGATTTTCTACTGGCAAGCCACAAACGTACCACTTGGACGAACCCCATTGCTGCTTAATCCATAACCTTACAGATGACAAGCACAAAATGTTGAAATCACATGTGTTTCAATATCAAGTGACAAAACATGTTGTGATGATGTCACCAATGGAAACAAGTCACCAGCAATTAATTTATTTGACACTCATGAGACTAAACACTCTGCTCTTTTATTAGAATGAAAAGCAGTGTTGGCCACTCATGAGGTATGAGCCAGCTCAATCAAATTCTGGTACAACATCCATTTAGTGCTTAATGCCGCATCTCTTGGCACATTCACTGTCCAAGGAGGGGTTAAGATTGGCTGCCACACTCTTCATGATCTTTTGGATTTCCTTCTCAGACAATCCGGTGGTGGCGCGGATGGCACTGAGTGGCAGCCTGAAGAATGTGGAGGCTGTTGTTTGGGTTCCTGGGTCTCGGTTGGGGAAGGAAGCAATGAACTGTGCCTGTTTGCACCTCAAATTCTGAGCGAAATGGATCACACCTGGCAGCACAAATGGGTGGGTCCACCGGCAGACAACACAACACAACACAAGCCTAATTAGTAGCTGCAGGATGCAAGTCCGGGCCACATGCAAAATCAAGCAATTGAAAGGAGGGATTGATGATCCTGCATAATATCAAAGACGGGCTGATTCCTCATCAGTTTGAGCCAACTCACCTTGTGGAACAATGACGGTTTGACCCTTTGTAGCATTTCCTCCAATGAAGGGTCGTCCTCCATTCTCTTCCGCAAACCCGAACAACAGTTCACCTGGTTCATTTTCACAGACGTTTAATTCAGGATATTCGTGAGCAATTCATCAATCAACTTCCACACCCACTCATCAACCCAGCTTTGGGCCCAGCATTTCCCTCTTGACACCTCAGTTTGTGGGGACCGATCGCTTTCTCTCATACCGAGAGCTTGTATCTTTCATCGAGTGGAAAGTGAGGTCAGTAAGCTTTCGTACATGGGAAAAGATCCAGAGGGTGGGTCATATAGTCTAAACAACATCTAGCCCAGCCTACGAAAGCTTTTTGCTGAAAGTGAGCATCACGCTTGTGGAGATCAGTGATGGGTTTCTTCTGCAACCGATTCTCCACGGCTGATAGTCATTGCAACGTTCAAGTCTTGCCGCCTGAAGCTCTCTTGGAAACAACATTAAGCTTGTGTGAGCAGGGACGCCTTTCAACTACATGCGAACAATCGATGGGAAGGATCAGCACATACCCTCGGTGATGTGAGAGATTTCAGTCGCGCGAGGATGATTGTGTGGCTGGTTGATCGCGCAAGGTCCAACCGTAACCAAATTCTGGGCTGCTCCTTCACCCGGAAGCGTGGCCAAAGCAGGGTTGTCGTTCACGAACATGGTCCTCAGGTTCCCGAATGGCGTCTCCTCAGTTACCGACTGAAACTTGAAAATGAAGTCATTGCTGTCGAACGCCGCCCTCTGCCGCACCTCCGGAATGAAGTCCAGGTCGTTCATGTCAAGCGTAGTAGCTCGAGCAGTGCAGAGAAAGATGGACAAAGCAACTAGTAACAAGGGGAAAGCTTTCATGGTGGTCATCTTCCTTCTTCTCGTATCTGAGTTGCTGTGAAAGAGTGCAGGTCTGAGGCAAGAGGCAGTGTGACCCGTAACAAGTAAATCCCTCTGATCTCTAAGTGACAAGACAGTTAACTCGTTGTCAGATGGTTAAACAAACACTTGGGGAGTCGCGTTATATACATACAGCATTGCCAAGTGTTGTACATGTGGCAGGAGTCCTGCAACGTCCTGGATTTGAGTGGACTTCTAGGTACTAGCATCGGGACAAATTGATAATTCCGACAGGACTAAGCCCTACTACTCAAATACGAACACGCATTTCTTTCACTGTTCTGTAGGATTTGAGATTGCAGAGAGCATTTGGATAACCTATGCATGGCCTTTTCAGTCGTTGCACCTCGAAACATGACGACAAGGTCCAAATAATCAAAGTGCAGCACATTCAGTTATATTTCCAACGCGTGTCTGCTTATCAGAGGATGCTGTGAACATCTCAAAAAGATTAGGTCCTGGTGCAATTTCACGCGCAGGTGCAATTTTAGTCAGCGATCAAGTCACGAAGTATACAGCTTGGAAAACGTGGATCTTAGATTCTAAAACATTTAGAATGTTCCTAGATAATTTTTCTAGCTACCGAGAATATTTTTCAGCCCATTTACCATATCTGAAATAATTGGAAACTGAAAAGTCCGGCCTCGATGGAAGGCGTGTGTTGAATCTGCAAACTGTTTGGATCACTAGATGTTTTGACAAGTGGCATATCCACTTCGCTCTCACTGCCGTAGTTTATAGTTGTATACTAAGTTTGGGTGTGAAGCAATCACGTTCGCCCATCATGCCCATAAATGCTTACAAATAGGCACAGCACAACCCCATCATACTAGTTTCTACAGGCCCAGCAGCGTTGTTTCGTGGACCCTCAAGCAGAACAGGCTTTCAAACGCAGACAAGATATGACGATTTGCAAACGCATCATGGGACCCAATCCAACAGAAGCAACAGGATAAGCCATCACGGAGTCAGTAAAGCAGACAGTGGGGTTTCTATGTTCTCCATGTTATTGCTACTTTATGCTACGGAAAGAACTTTTTGTGCAAGAGATTGAATTAACTGGAGCTCTTTGGTTGCATAAGGGGCGTCCTGATTGACTTTTCTAGGCCATGCAAGGACTTCATTTGTTTTTACGATTGCTCAACGCCGAGCCTCTTGATTACCGTGCATGTCAAGTCACCCTTTATTATCAGCAAAAGGACTTTTATGGTTTGTCCTTTTTCTCATTTGGATAGTTTGATTTTGTGAAAGTGAAAATGGATTCATTTTTTGATAGCCAAGGATACATACATGGTAACATAGACTGTATAACAAGTAGCTATTGGCTTGATTCATGCATTGCAGAAATCTTTGATGGAGTTGAAAGGCGTCCCTGCTCACACAAGCTTAATGTTGTTTCCAAGAGAGCTTCAGGCGGCAAGACTTGAACGTTGCAATGACTATCAGCCGTGGAGAATCGGTTGCAGAAGAAACCCATCACTGATCTCCACAAGCGTGATGCTCACTTTCAGCAAAAAGCTTTCGTAGGCTGGGCTAGATGTTGTTTAGACTATATGACCCACCCTCTGGATCTTTTCCCATGTACGAAAGCTTACTGACCTCACTTTCCACTCGATGAAAGATACAAGCTCTCGGTATGAGAGAAAGCGATCGGTCCCCACAAACTGAGGTGTCAAGAGGGAAATGCTGGGCCCAAAGCTGGGTTGATGAGTGGGTGTGGAAGTTGATTGATGAATTGCTCACGAATATCCTGAATTAAACGTCTGTGAAAATGAACCAGGTGAACTGTTGTTCGGGTTTGCGGAAGAGAATGGAGGACGACCCTTCATTGGAGGAAATGCTACAAAGGGTCAAACCGTCATTGTTCCACAAGGTGAGTTGGCTCAAACTGATGAGGAATCAGCCCGTCTTTGATATTATGCAGGATCATCAATCCCTCCTTTCAATTGCTTGATTTTGCATGTGGCCCGGGCTTGCATCCTGCAGCTACTAATTAGGCTTGTGTTGTGTTGTGTTGTCTGCCGGTGGACCCACCCATTTGTGCTGCCAGGTGTGATCCATTTCGCTCAGAATTTGGGGTGCAAACAGGCACAGTTCATTGCTTCCTTCCCCAACCGAGACCCAGGAACCCAAACAACAGCCTCCACATTCTTCAGGCTGCCACTCAGTGCCATCCGCGCCACCACCGGATTGTCTGAGAAGGAAATCCAAAAGATCATGAAGAGTGTGGCAGCCAATCTTAACCCCTCCTTGGACAGTGAATGTGCCAAGAGATGCGGCATTAAGCACTAAATGGATGTTGTACCAGAATTTGATTGAGCTGGCTCATACCTCATGAGTGGCCAACACTGCTTTTCATTCTAATAAAAGAGCAGAGTGTTTAGTCTCATGAGTGTCAAATAAATTAATTGCTGGTGACTTGTTTCCATTGGTGACATCATCACAACATGTTTTGTCACTTGATATTGAAACACATGTGATTTCAACATTTTGTGCTTGTCATCTGTAAGGTTATGGATTAAGCAGCAATGGGGTTCGTCCAAGTGGTACGTTTGTGGCTTGCCAGTAGAAAATCAATGGGCATGGAAATATAAACGAAACATAGGAAAAGGAGGTATTTTTTAATAAATGAATATGAAATCAATATTGTATTATTAGTGAAATGTTATATTTTAGTTTAGTAATTAGTTGCTTTTCTATTCGAATTGTAGTTTTGTATTTCTTCACTTATCTTTTCTATTATTTTAACTTGTTGAGATAAATCACTTCATCTTTATTGAAAACTATGAAACATAAATACATGTAAGATAAATGTGTAATTTTGATAGTTGTTATTATAAGACTTAAAGATTAAGTAGGATTGTTAATTATTTCTAAACATTTTTAGTTGATTATTTGTAGATAGTGGTATTAATGTCAAGTTCATTTAAGTAACGATGTTACAATGGTAACTAATAAATTATTAATTATAATGTATTTACTTAAACACTTCTTCTTGTACTTGAATTGACTTGTATTGTTTTTATGGATAATGAGTGGTTGTAATGGATCAATGGCAACTTGAGATAGAGAAGATATATGCTATAAGAAACCATTTAAAATAGTTCTTCAAATTTTGTTTGTGCTTGTTGATGATGTTGTGCTTATGTTGTAGTAGAATGTGTTTTTACTAGGTTTGTGGTTGAGTGGTAGCATTGCATAGAGTTTGTGCAAGCTTCTTCTTTTATATTATAAGTTTGGTAGAGAATTTGTTTCAAACTTTGGTAAAAAGTAGAATTTTCAAAGAAAGTATTTTTAAATTGATACAATATTAAATAATATCTAATATATATGAAATTATTTCTACTAAGATAAGGTTTAAGAAATTTTATATAATATGAGTGGAGATTCAACCAAGGATATATAGATTGTGGAATAAGTACAAAGCATAAGTAAATAGATTCAAAGGATCTAAATTTTAATTTTTCAAAGATGAAGAATCTATAGAGAAGAATTTGAAAGGATAGATGTAGATTGAAATCTATGTAGAATTACATATTGGAAGTATATTTATTTTTTGACACATGCAATAATATGTAAAAATTTCTAATAATTTAATTAAAATTTTATCTTATTGTTTAGATATAGATATATAATTGATTATTATATTTCTTGCTAAACTTCTTTCTTTAATAAAATAGAATTGCATTTTTATGTACTTGGTTCAAGAATACAATATTAGATTATTTATTAATTTGATACAACTTTGATTGTTGTTAAAGATGATAGATGGATCAGTACTGCAAATATTTAATTCTTATAGGATTTGTAGTAAGTATATTGAATCTTTTATAACTATTTAAAATACTTAGTATTTGGCTTCAATAGTACTTAATACAACTATTATTTATTTCTTGCTAGACTATTCAATTAGAGCTTCATTGATCTTATACATCAAATCAAAGATTTTTTGTCTAGCATCTTAGTCTCTTTTATAATCAATGTCTATATAGCTTATTAATGTGAGTTTATTTACTTCCAAAAAAAATATGCCAATATTAGGAGTATTTTTGAGATAGCATAATATTTATTTTATAGCTATTATATATCATTCATGTAGATTTTGTATATATCTATTTGAGATACTAATTGTAAAGTTAATAGTAGGTCTCAAGATCATAGAGACATACAAAAATCTACTTATTAGTGATTGATAAGTTAACTTATCAACATGTCATTATTACATATGGAATTTGTGATGAGTATTAGAATACATAAAAGTTTATATTAGATAATAGTATATCAATAAATTATTATGTAAATTTACATAATAATTTATTGATATAAATTTCTTAATGTAATTATATACCAAATAGGTGTTAAAGACAAGAACTTGATAAAAATAAATAAACAAGTGAGACTTCTCTCAAAGAAAGATGACAAAATAGAAATAACTCAATATGTATATTAAAAAAGAAATTGAAATGGCTATTGCCAAAAGACAAGAAAACTAGAGACCCTTGAAACTAGACTAGAAGCAAGAAAGGAGTTGACAAGAGTGAAGAGGGCTTTACTTTTTTCTCTATATATACTATCTAACTAGGGGCTATGTGGCGATGTTCTATAGGATCTCCAATATGTGTTGACTTTGTAGGACACATGCCTTGACTTACAAGGTAAGTTTTTCTATGAGTGGGCCACATAGTTAGCTAGGTCTTCAAGCTAACAATATGTATGGCACATGGCCAATTTGTTGACCACATTTTTAATCCAAAAAGTCAATTAAAGACACCTATAAAGTCAAAGTTTTTTCTTTTATATTATAGAATTAACTTACTTTTACTTATTTTTACTTACTTCTATCTATTTATACATATAATCATTGGCTAACATGCATATGTCCATGATATTATCCCTCTTTCTAGAGACGAGTTCTACAAGGAGTGGTTATGATATGTTGAGGAAATCTATGATGTGACGAATTATATTTGCCACATACTCTGATCTTTGTTCTCTTTGAAGATGATTGATAGGGCCTTTCAACCATTGATAGTGTCCCATATCAAGGCAGGAAAACCACCGAGTTATTTGATTGTTGTTGAAGCCTTCATAACTTCCTTCAAATAAAACATTTGAAATACCATCAGGAGTTGTTCCTACTTCTAGTAAAATCACCAAACATCAGAAGTCCCTTCCAAGGTCGTGATACCAAATGCGTTATATCTCGCTATCTATTCGAGGAAGAACATGTCATTCTTGAAGATCTTCATCTCGATTGCGTCATCTTCAAGGTTGTGACAATTGTAATATCTTGTCTGATAGGTCAGCAAACGAAGGCTCTTGCGTCAAATCCATTGGTTGTTGGTTCTCCATCTCCTCAGTGTCACAACTACAAAGAAGCTACAAACAAGGATTGAAAGTAGAATGTTATCTTGCCTAGATCTTATTTTTTTATGAAAAAAATTTTCATCTTGCTTTTGATGGATGTCGTCAATGAAAAGCCTCCACCGCCTTTGCTATATTTGTAAGATTCTTTATTGGCTCTCATGTACGTTCACTAATATCATATCCGTGCTAATGGATAAGTTATTCTAATTTATTTTGGCGCAGCCTTGAATTTAAGACTTCTTTTACTTCAAACTCTTCATTATTGTCTACTTCTATAGGAGGAGGTGGAGCTTGTCTTCTTCTTGGTATGTCCATTATCTTGTATAGTTCAAAAAGAGATACGTGGAATATTGGATGGATTTTTATTGACTCCGATAGGTGTAAATGATTTGCAACTGGATTGATTTGTATAGAAATAAAAATTGGTCGAAGCCTTTGATAGTCTAACTTGTCATAATGATGAGTGGTCTTGATATTGTGACGAAGTAACCATACCTTGTCACCCATGTGGAATGGTGGTTATTCCTTTCGATAAACATCCGCATTGACTTTTTATTGTTCTTGAGCTTCTTTTAATTGTGCCTTCATCGTTGTATGTAGCTCTGACAAATGAATTGTCAAATCTTTCACCCCAGGATTATCAACTTTTAAAAAGTCAAAAGTATCAAGTCATGGATGACAACCATAATTGGCAAAGAAAGGTGTTTTTTTTATAGAAGAATGTACCATGTTATTATAAGCAAACTCTATTAATGGTAAAAGAGTTGTCCAGTCATCTTATTGGTAGTTGATGGTACATCTTAAATACTACTCCAAAACTTGATTAACATGCTCCGTTTGTCCTTCAGTTTGAGGATGGAATGTCGAAGATAGTTTTATATCCACTTTTAGAATCTTGAAAAGAGTTCACTAAAATCTTGATACAAACTGAGTTCCCTTATCTAATATAATATACTTGAGTAATCCATGATAGCGATAGATATTGTTAAGAAAGAGCTTAGCTGTTTCTTTACTTGTGATGGATTTTGTACATGGTACAAAATGTACCATCTTGGTAATACAATCTACTATTACGAATATAGATTCATAAGAACCTGAGATTGGATGATTTGTGATGAAATCCATAAAAATACAAGACCATGGTTGTTTTGGAATGGATAATGGCTGAAGAAGTTCGTAAAGTTGATGATGAGGAGTTTTTGATCTTGAACAAACATCACAAGATTGTACAAAATCTTTGACTGCTTTCCACATTTGTGGCCACCAAAAGTCCCTACATATTATTTCTAAAGTTTTATTGTATTCAAAATGTCCTGCTGTTGGAAAGTCATGACGAGCTTGAAGAACATGTAATCGAGCTTCACCTTCTGGAACATATAGGTGTCTCTCAAAATATAGTAGATTATTCTTGAATTCAAACTTAGAAGTATCATGAGATTTTGAAGGATTTTCCTTAATATTACAAATAAGATGATCAGAAGACATACTTGACTAAATTTACTTAATGAAAGTTGAATCAATAGTTAGTGTTGATTTCATTGTTCAAAGATGAAGATGCTCTAGCTTCAAGAGAATTATCCATTGTTGATCAAAAGTAACATCTCTTTCCTTTGGTATAAGGTAAAATTGTCTAGAGAGTGCATCTCACAAACCTTATTATTTTCTTAGTCAATAAGTGATCTTGAATTCAAATCTTGACAAAGATATACTCCAAGGAGCTTGGCGACAATTCAAAATATGTACTGACATAAAATATTTAAGATTCTTATGATTCGTATATATGATGACTGGACTAGAAGCACCTTCTAGATAATGGGCACCATTCTTGAAACAAATCTATGATTGCAAGAAGTTCTTTGTTGTGAATCTCGTAGTTGATCTCGGTTGCTAAAAATTTTCTAGAATAAAAAGCTATTGCATGAAGTTTATCATCTATTCCCATTTGTGATAATATGGCATACAAAGCAAATTTTGATGCATTTGTTTCTATAAAAAATGGATTAAAAAATCAATGCAATATAAGATTGGTGCAAAAACAAAGGTTGTCTTCAAAGCTTCAAATGTTACTTCTGTTTCTTGATTCCATTGAAGTTTGTCTTTACAAGTCAAACGTGTAAGTGG